AATCCTTTGATTTTTCTTTGATATTCGACAAAAGTCAGCAGTTTTTTTTTGCTATGAAATTTCCGTTGTCATGAAAATTTTTTCATTCTTATCATTCGTTTATTGTTTCAATAATGAATTTCATTGTAATTTAATGTTTCTTCTTCTTCTTCTTCTTTCCATACAAATATGGTCGTTTCATTTATTTGAAATTTCAATTTCATTTCAAACAAAAGAGATACCTTGAAGCTAAATTCGTGATGCCAAACAAAAAAAAACATTGAAATTGGACAAATGAGAAAACAAATGGAGCATTCATTTTTCATATTGCAAATTGATTGAAAAATTCAAATTGTCTTCTGAAATTACAATGAATTCAATTGAATATTCATATATTAATGATGATGATAAATTTCACAAATATTTTTTACTCATTATTGTATATGTATGATCGATTTACTTGATTTTTGCTTGTTTGTTTGTATCAAATTCACATGATTGAATACAAACAAACAAACAAACCTACCAAACCTTTGGGCTATTTTCACTATAGTTTATCATCGATAATGATATTCAATCAATAATGATTTTTTTTTATTGGGCCAAAATTTTATTACATTTGTTTCTGTTCAAGGTTGATCAAATCTCATATGTAGAAAAATGAACAGAATATTTTTTATCGGGTAAAAATCATGATGAAAATGACAAGAGAGAAAAAAAAACCATATAGCTTTTAGTTATTATAATGAAAATTATTTGTTTTCTATTTTATTGAATGATATTTTCACTGTTCACATGACCCTATTTCTTTATAAAAATTTCAAGATTAATTAATATTCCTGGGCATGAATCCAAATATAATGATTATTATGATGATGATGGCTACATTATTCAGCCAGTCGGATTCTATTTTTTTTCATTTTCTTTTTTTCCCAGATGATGCATTCTTTTTGTTGTCTGGAAATTCATATATTTTGCACCGATAAAATATTTTTCCTACTCTGGCTTGGTTTTTTTTACATTATTTTATTACGTAATGAAAATTGGGAATGGGAAAGAGAGAGAGAGAGAGAGAAAGGATTTATTATCTCTTTGGAATGTTGAATATTTGTCCATATAAACATATATCAACCTTATTTTTCTTTTGCATTTTATAATCATCATCATCATCATTTTGATTTCGAAAAGTTTACATCATTAATTTTTACAATTCTGTTGTTGTTGTTGTTTTCTTGTTAAATAACAATAATAATCATTATCATTATTATCATTATTATTATTATTATGATAAAAAGTTGATTAAATATTCTTTGCTGTATATTTTTGGAATACGATTGCGAAAATTCAAAGTTGAAATTTGACATTCCGATAACAACAACAACAACAAAATTAAACAATTCATAAAAAAGTGATGTTACAACATGACAACATCAATAAATGTTATAATTTATCATCATTGAATTATAATAATTTTTTTTTCTTCTTCCTGATGGTCAATTTTTATTATAATAATCATTTTGAAACATTGTAAATATAACGGATATTATTATTATTATTATTATCGATTGGCATTATATTTAATGTGATTTTCAGTTTCAACCAACAACAACAACAACAACGAAAAAAAGTTGATTTTGGCCAAGTGTGTGTATGGGTTTATTTTTACTTAATATATAAAAATAGAAGGATATATTATGTGTCTACGAGTGTGTGTGTGTGTATGTGATGTTTATTGAGTCATTAATAATTTGGTCAACAACAACAACAACAACAACCGACGTTGATTCGTTTTAGGTTCATTCGAATGTTTGTGTAGGCATGCATTAAAGTTGGAAACTTTCTTGAATGTTGATTTTGGATGTTGATGATGGTTATTTCATGATTATGACAACATCAACAACAACAACAACTTTAGCTAAGGTCTCTTCCAATAATAATTTTTTCTCTCTCTTGGTTATATTTAATCAAATGCTATTTTTTTTCCTTTGATCTTTTTTTCCTAAACTATTCATCAACATAAACATCATCATCGTTTCATTATTTTTTTTTTCATATTGGCCACAACCAATAAATCAATTGAACCGTTATGTATGATTCGATCTGAATGTTCAAAAGTATCCAATTTATTATCATCATATATGCGGGATATTGAAGTGTTGTATTGATTAATTTTTTCTAAATTGGAAATATATTTTACTTGTCTGCGTTATTTCGGTTTTTTTTATTCTTCACCCATCTGGACATGTGTGACATTAGAGAGAAAGATAGAAGTACAACAGGCTTCAGGCGCAATCATAGTGTATTTATTATCAAAAAAAATGAGAATATTTTTCATATTTGCTTCCTGGTTTTGTTTTGTTCATTTCTCATTTTGTTTGAAACTAATTTTAACGAAAATATGAATTTCAAGTGAACGCAGAAAGCAATTTTTTCTGTTGTTGACAAATTTAAGATGTATTCATTATTATGATGAAAAAACAAGTCCAATATTTTGAATATTTTTCCCTTTTAGATTCTTACATTTACAAACTTGATTCTATTTTTTGTGTGTGTGTGGACAAATATTTGACCACTTGACTACGATAAATGTTTGAACACATATAACACATCAATCAGCAGCAATATCGATCAGATTCTAACCTCTAAGAAAATACTGTGAATTGGATGATAAGTGTTGGTGTGCAACAGAAAAAAACAATGATTGAAAGAAAAAATCTACCGGAAAAAACGATTTTATTTTTGGAATAAACGCAAAAACAAAATACAAAGATTTTATTTATTTTCTCTTTATTTGAAGATTTCTTAAGAATCATTATCATTACCATCATCATAATCATTGATTATTTTCATTCATACAATGAATCATTGATGATCAATATTTACATTGTAAACAATGTTAGCTAACAATTGATGAACAATTTAGCTATTGAATTGTAATTCTGTATTAATATTTATCTGTCTTTTGCACTTACACCCACACTCATTCAATATAACAATGTTAAATCATTCTGTTTGTTTTCTCTCTTATTTTTCGGATTCATTGGGGCATATTTTTTCAGAGAAAAAGAAAGAATTTTACACAACAACAATTCCTATTTTAACATTGTCCATATTTGTTTTCTTCAAGTTTTTACTAGTTTTTGATGAAATATATTTTTGTTTATGACTTTAGAAAATTTAACATTCATTTTCCAAACCATTCATGAATCTAAAATGTGTGTGTTTTTTAGAGTATCATCTGGACTCATCTTAAATGAAAAAATGTTTATATGATTATTATGTTTTTTTTTTGTAATGGTCTATAATAAAAGATAATGATAATGAATTGTTGTGGTTGTTGGTGTTGTTTATGATCTAATCTATATATTGATATTATTATAAATAAACTATAAGCTAGTGCCATCCATTAGTTATTAGGAATTTTGAAAAAACAAGAAATTTTTTTTTCACAAAATTGATCAATCAATTTATTGAATATTTTTTCTCATTTTATTTCATGGATCATATATTTTGATGAGATTGGTTGAGTGAATCATTTTTCATCTGGTATCTTGTATACAATGAATGTTTCGACGATTAAATGATGTTTGAAACAACCTTTGGCCATTTAATCGAATCGAATGCGACAAAATGTTTCCAAAAAAAACCAAATTATTATTCGGTTTTTTTTCTCAAATTCCACTGTAATTGATGCGGCAACTTGGAATTAAATTTAATTGAATGATAAATTAACTCAGATTCTATTCCTTTTGTAATTGTAATTTATTTTATCATGATGATGATCATCATCATCGATAGCTCAGTAATGTAACAAAAGCATTTGACTGAATTTTTTTTCATTAAGATTTTTTTTTACGTAATCAAAACGGAAACTTAAATTGAAAAAAATACACTTCATTCATTCAGTTAATTAATTAACAAATGGCAAACAATGATGAACATTTTTGTGTTGACACTTCATTCAAGCACAAACATGAGAAACCGACAAAATAATAACAATTGATAAAATCGACAATTGTGATTGTCATCATCATACATTTCCAAATGTAAAATTGTTGAATTCAAATCATTTTGTTCTTCGAAATTCTTAATCGAAAAAAATTTCAAACAAAAAATTCTTTCTTTCTGATTATTATCACACATTTTCCACAGAAAAAAAAATTCTCTAGGTTTGCTGTTATGTTATCGTAAATGAGAATGAACAAAAAGAATGAGAAAAAAAGCTTGATTTTGAATTCAAAATGTTGCTCCCTGTTTTTTTTTCATTTTGTCATTCGTATCGATCATCATCATAATAATAATAAAAATCCTGTTTATCAGATCATTATATATTATGGAATTTAGCATTTTTTTCATCATCATCATCATCATCTTCTTCGATCTCGATTATTTTATTTTTTGTTTGATCATAAAAAATTCTACTCAGAATCGAGATCGAATGGAATTTCTAATTTCTAAACATTAGTTCCACAACTAAATTTCCTATAAATCATCATCATGAATATATGCTGTCCATTTAATTTTTTTTTTTTTTTTGTTAATAAAAATAAATGAAGAAAACTGAAACATAAGCAGAATAAATTTACATTTCAATGATCAATGTAATAAACCCCATAATTATAAAACTAAAGAATTGACCATTGCAAAATCAAAATTTTGACTTTTTTTGTGAATAAAATAAATTAAATTCAACAATTTTTATTATTTGTTGTTTTCAACAAGATAAAGAAAAAAGTGATTCAGGGAAAATATCAAGAATAAATTGCAAAATGAAGACATTTATATCTGTTTTTTTTTTGAAAATTTCATTTTACTTTTTCACTTTTTTTTTGTTTGTTTGTTTTGATTGTGGATAAAATATATGAAAACCGTTTGATTGATTAAATATTTGTGAATAGAAAAAAAAAGAGAGAATGTTGTTGATAAATCTGTGTGTGTATGTGTGCAACAAAAAAGAATTTAATGATTTTTTTTCAATTTTGCAATAAAATAACATTTGAAGATCACGATTTTTGTTTTTGTTTTTGTTTTTCAATCGTAACATAAGGGTGTATTTTTTTGAATTATCAGCCATTATATTTACGTTTATTGATATCCTTGAATATAACCTGATAGATAATCATTTTGATCCATTCCAGTTCGAACATTTACAGGTAAATTGTTTGTCATTGTTTGTTGTGGTTGTGGACAATTCCAACCATTAGCTGGATTCATCAATAATGTTTGTTGTGATTGTTGTGTTTGACAATTTTCATTATCAATAATAACGGTTGGATTTATAAAACGATTACCATATTGATGATGATGGTTATGATGTTGTCCATGTCTTAATGGTGATGATGATGCTGATTGTGATAATGATGGTGCTGGCTGTTGTTGCTTTAAAAATGGTTGTGTTATTGTTAAGCTCGGTGATATCGGTGCACGATAATGAATAATTTCATTATCAAGTGTATTATATGATAATGGAGGTATAAGACCATTGATATTACTATTTCCACTACCATATGATGATGTTTGATGAATGGACATTGTTGATGTCAATGGAGAAGAATAATTACGTTCTCTTGATCGATGTAATGATCGTTGTTGTACAATACGTGGCGATAATGGTTGCGATTGTGATGGTGGTGGCGTTAAATTCGTCACAACATTTGGACCACCATAATCTCCTTGATCTTCACTGTAGAAAAATTTCATCGATGATGATGATGTATTATTTGGTAATGATCCATAATGTGTAAGTGATGCTTTACGTATTGCATTTAATTTTGGTGAATTTGTTATCATTGATGTATAAACAGCTGAATTTATATTATTAAATGAATGTTGATATGGTGGCGGTGTAGCTATTTGTTGTGATGGTTGATTTGGTATTGTCGGTAATTTATGATGATGATGATGAAAAATTGATTGTTGTTGCTGTTGTTGTTTTGGATGAATATTACGTGCATTTATAACTAATTGTTGTTGTTGTTGTTGTTGATTTGTTATAATTGATTGATTTTGATGTATGGATTGTAATTGTGTTGATTGAATAGATGATCCTAAATCCTGATGGCCATTTCGTTGAATATTTTGAGAAATTTGTTGTTGTTGATTATTTTTGGGAATGATTACAGATGATGATGATGATGATGATGGATTCTTGTTTTTGGATAAATGTTCAACATTCAATTGAATTTCCGATGATGAACGTCGTCCACCAATATGATGTTTATGTTGTTGTTGCTGTTGTTGTTGATATAATTGTTGTGGTTGATTGCTTTTAATTGAACCACTTTCATTACTTGAATTATCTTTTGATAATGAACGAGAATTTCCACCAGTATGTCCAATTGTTTTCTGATAGGAAATTAATTGCTTTTCAAGGCTATAATTTTCATTGCTTAGGGCAAGTATTTCACGTCTATAATTGAAAAAAAAACAAAATAAAACAAATATACCAAAAAGAAAAATTAATCAATAAAAATACTCATGATAATGATATTTTCCAAATAAACAAACAAACAAACAAACAGCCTAGCATCAATCCATTATTTGATTTTTTTTGCATCATAAAGAAAACAATAATATCATATAGAAATTTTGATGATGAATTGAGTTTCCAATACAATCACATATACAGATGGAAATTGAATAAAGTCAATAATGATGAAAACAATATTCAATCATCGAAAGTTTGTTGTTCATCATCATTATTCGAATATAGAACCAAGAAACAATACAAAAGAATTTTGATACAATTCAATTAACTATTGTATAAAAATATCTTATAAAAGCAACAACAAATTGTATACAAAGGATTCTATACGATAATTTTGGAAAAATGTTCTTGAAAAGAGATAATAAATTTTTCTCATTTCAAATAAGGAAAGGAAAAAAATGAAACCAGATTATTATGATGATGACCAAATTGATAAGAGAATAAGAAAGAAGATTCAAGTTTTGTTGTTGTTGTTGTTGTCGATTTTTTTTCATTAACAGATCAAATTAGAGTACAATTCTATTGTTTGCATCATTATTTTCAACACTAATAATTCATTGGCTTCATCATTATTATCATCATCATCATAGAATGATTATTTATTTATTTATTTTTCTTCTGAAGATGATAGTAGTATATTGCCCAACGGCAATTTTAATCACTTTTTCATACATATGAAAAAAAAATAAACTTGCAATCATTTTCATTAGTGTGCATGTACTGATTCTCAATATATGGAATTCTTGGTTTTGATAATGATGATGAGAATGATGTGATTTGATTCATTCATTCATATAACATACTGTATTGCGTAACAGGGTAACAAAAAAAAATCTTCAGGCTAAATGATAAAACAATATATCAATCCGATGATATGGATAATTGAAATACAACACAACATGCAACATTCAATTTATCATAATCATTATCATCATTGAAAGATTCTAAAAAACAGGAAAAACAAAATCTAATCCAGATTTGTCAAATGAAATTAATTTGGGTTCGTTTTTGCTCCACAATCAAATGGATTTTTTTCTCCTGTCAATATAATTATTAATGTTTCCGGTAAAAAAAAATATTGTTTTTGTTATGATGTCAAAAAAAATCATTTTTTTGACATCATTATTTTGATGATGATTACCATTATGAAAATGATTTTCATCAATGCTTTTTCCTTCATTATTATTATCTTAAATATTTTGACATAAGAAAAAAAAATCCTGACCATAAATACACCTGTACTATAATCTTATTATCAGTGATGATGACATCGCAATTTTGATGTAAAATTTTTTTCCCTTATTATAAGCTCATCAATTTTTTTGCCATTTTGTCTTTTTTTTTCATTATTTGATACTATGACATTTTATTTCACGGCTACCGAATCACTATAGTGAGATTAGTTTTACTGCTATTTTTTTTTTGTTAATGTATTATTGTTGTCGTTGTTTTGTTTCAGATTTATTACCCACATACAGACACACGCATAGGAATATTATCGAAACATTATTTGGATGTCATTTTATCCTGTTTGTTTGTAATGTTATTTAATTTTTTATTTTTTGTTGTTCAAAAATTCTAAACACACAATCATATTGTGAACAAGTGAAACAAAAATGTAAAGAAACCAAAAAATAATAATAACCTGGTGAAACATGAACATGATCTATTTTTTATAAACATGTCCATTAAAGTCAGATTTCCTTTTTGGAGAAAAAAAATCAAGTCTAAATAGATTTTTCAGGTTTCGTAAGAAAATTTTTATAAATTACTTGACTGTAGTGTTTTTTTTCACTTTACTTTCCATTTTCATTTGCAACTTTATTCCTGATTTTTTTGTGGATGTTGGATTGTTTTGATTTCGATTTTAAACAATGCCGTTTTTAGTTTTGAAATTCAATTAAGAAAAAAAAACAAACCAAATTTGTCTCTTGATTTGTTTGCCAAAGATTTTTTTTTTGTTTTGTTTCTTGGTTTTAGAAATCCAACCAAGAAAAAATATGATGATTTTTTTTGTTGTGTTTTGTTTGATTTAAAATTGGTTCATTAGTTGTTGTTGTTTTTATTGTACACGTAAATAGATGGACATTGATTGAATTAAATTCTAAACAAACAAAGCCACATTGATATTTGAAATCAAATTGAATTTTGATTCAAAAAAAAAAATCATTGCCACCTCTGATTACACTATAGTCGGGTGACTATCGTTTTCAAATCAATTTATTCTTCTTTTTTTCACTGAAGAAACATTGTTGTTTTACATTTAAAAGAAAGAAAACATAAAAAAAGAACAACTGTATCACCATTCCTTTTACCGAATAACATTAAGTCTGGAGATTTTGTAATTTTTTTCATCGCTAAGTTTGTTTAGGATCAATTCAATTTTGGTCATTCAATGAAAAGCATTTGCAATCACCAACGAGAAAAATAAATAAATGAGTTAAATCTAGTTAGTGGTCAGTGATCAAATAAACAAACAAATGTATTGTCCATTTCACCAAAGTAAAAAAAAAATCATGTCGTGATTTTAGTTTGAGGAAAAAGGAAAACAAAAAAAAACATTTTAAAATGTCAATTCAATTTTTTTACAGAATGTATCAATCGAATTTCAAATTGCCAACCAAACAGCCTACTGCTGTTTTGAATTAGATTAATTAATGAAATTAATTATTATTCAACATGAAAATAAAAAAAAAGGCTTAAAAGATATATAAATTGTGTATATTATGTGATCGCAAACGAATGAATGAATGAATGGATAATATATTTTCAATGATAATAATAAAAACTAAACCATGAAAATTTCAAATGAATTTTTTGTTTTTTGTTTTATAATGAATAAATACTAAACACATGTGACTTTTTTTTCTTGTTTTGATTGAATTTTTACATCACACACATTCATTATAATTACCATTATTGTATAGATTTCCTTTTTATTATTTGATCGATTAGGTTCGAAAGGATTTTTTTCTCTAGTATTTTTTATTCGTTTGTTTGTTTGTTAGTTGTTTGACATTTAGAGACTTTTTCCTATATAGAAATAATAATAGGAAAAATATTATTATTATTATTTCTGGAATAAGTCGAAAACATATGACAAAATTGTGTTTGGTTCTGCTCGATTCGAGAATGGTGATATTTAATAGTCGTATAATGTGTATGTGTGTAATAACCGATAGAAAATGTGATGAAAAAATAAAAAAACAAAAATGCCAACAAAATGAAACCAAAAGGGATTATCTCATATTGATGAAAACAACAACAACAACAACAATATTTGCTATATTTTCTCCTATCAAAGAAACCAGAAATGTTGAGCGTAAAAAATTATCCTCTCGGTATATAATGATTATTTTTTTTACAATAATAATGTTCGATTGTTTGTTGATCATTTTTTTTGTTTTGTTTCCTGTAATCCATTAAACCATAACCTTGACATATGATCATAATAAATGTAACAAGCACTAATGAAATAATAATAAAAGATAAGATTCAGAAAACTCAGAATATTATTGATTATCAAATGAAGGTAAATTGCGAATTCCATTACAAACTTTACATATTTTGTTTATGTGCTATGATGATGATTATATTTTTTGTTTTGTTTTGTTGAAATAAAAAATAATTGATTATGATGATGATGACAATAATAACCATGGTAATATCTAAAAAAAAGTCCAATAATAAGGAAGTTATCATTGTGATTATCGTTGTTGTTGTTGAATGAAGATCATGATATGATCGACCAATCGATCACTATTTGATAATATCGATTCTCTCTCTCTTTCTCTCTCTTGATAACATGTTTATCCTGAACATAATATTTATCAACATGATTATTAATGAATTTTCCAATTCTATTCAGATCAGATGGAAAAAAATGCCGTTTGTTTTTGTTGTTGTTGTTGTTGTTCGGGAAAGAATGTGTAATGATAAAAACAAAACAAAAAGTGAATTTTTAAAAGATTGGACATTCATCATATGACATTCTATGAAAATAGAATATAGCCTTGAAATAAAGGCGAAATTTTTATCAAATAATAATTTGATTTGAAATAAAAGCATTGAGCACAAAAAAAAAGTTGGACAAACTTTTCTCAAATTTCAATAATCTTGCTGGCATAGGATTTCATTGACACACGCAAAGAACTGTGTTAGTTTGTCAAACGAATGTGAAAAAAAAGTTGAAAATTAAATTTTTTTTTCTTGTTTGTTGCTTTCATTTTCATTGATGATTGATTTTTCAAATCTTTTTTTTCGAAATTCTCAAAATTCTTTCATTATTAGTATTATTTTTTTCATATTAAAAATTGATTTGAAAGGGAGAGAGAAGAAAGAATTTCGGTTCATTTTTTTCGGTTTTACGCCGTAAAGAAGAAAGAAATAGATGAAAAATAAAACAAAAGTTGCAAAGATAATCCTTTTTCCGTTTCTCTTTCCTTCATTGATAATGTAGGTATTATATTTCCTTCACTTTTTAATTTTTTTTTTCTTTTCTTCTTTTCCATTTGATGGCTTATCATTGGAAGATTTTTTTTCTTCATTTATCTATTCATTCATTAAGAAATACACATTATATTTCCTGCTCAAAATGATGCTATTTAATCATCATTTTTGTCATAAAATTTTCATGGAATTTAATCAAAATACGTTGAAAATTCGAGTAAAAAAAAAGTTTGAAGATAAAAAAAGGAAAGAATTGAAAGAAATCCAATCAGCAATTCTATTCTATTTTTTACAATCATCTTTTTCAACATCAAGAAAATTGCTTCATCAACTGAATTGTTTAACACTGAAAAAAAATCAAAAGAAAACATTTAAGCTGATTTTGAATATAATTAGCGATAAAAATAAGAAACTAAATTTATGTTTTATGAATAGAAAATGTATGTTTGTTTTTTTTTTGTATATTTGATTTGAACAAAAATGAATGGAATACAGTTGTGCAAAAAAAAGTCAATCAATTCGAGTCGTTTTATGTGTTTTTTCCTCATGTGTAAGTGTTTTATTTTATTTCGGAATGTGTGAAAAGACGAAAAAAAAAATTCTTTATTCCTAAATTTTTTTCAATACCCTAAACAAAGTAAAAATGTCACAAATGATTAAGTTTAATTAAAGTAAATGATTGTCACACACACACACAAACAATAATAATTGTTTGAAGAAAGTATGTTTGCTATCGATGTTTATCTTACTATTTCATTCTGTATATCCTGTTATTTTATTATTACAGTATATATAATACTCATTGGTTTTTTTTCTGGTTGAAAACTTGAATTTGATAAAAGAAATAAAAACGATAATGTCAACCAAGAATAAGACCCAAAAATATCGATATCGGTTCAATTCGAATGGCCGTCAAGTTTATTTCACAAATAATCATTTGTCATTCGGCTATTTTGTTGTTGTTGTTATACGAATATATAAATACCGAGATGGAATTTAGAAAAAAATATTTATTTACAGCTACTTGGCTGCCAATCTTATTTTTTCATTCATTTATTCACTCAATCCTGTTTGTTCATAAATTCCAACGACATTATTGTAAATGGTGGCAACTCTCTGATCTAAAATTCTTCTTTCTCATAAGAAGTGGAAGAAGAAGAAATTCTTTTTTTGCTTTTCAATTTTTGTATTGTTCTCATCGTTTTGCTTTCTGTACAGATTCCAATCCGGTAGTTTAATTCATTCTTTTTTAGCTTTGTTCTTTTGCGATATTCATGATGTTCAACATACAAACACACATTATATCGATCAAACATATGAAAGATTTCAATCTGAAAATTGTTAAAATAATCACATACAAGCAAGCACGCACACAAACATGCACAATGAATTGATTGAAATACGAAAAAATGTCAGATAAGAAAAAAATCGGAATTCATTTCATTTGTTAAAACAAAATTTAAAAAAAATGAAATCTTATCTTGATTTTTTTTTGACGTTACAAAGAAAACAAATAACAAAAACAAAAAATTTTCATACCTCATTTGATGGCCATGTATACGTGTAATATCATCATATTTATGATAAATATGATTGAATAACATTATCGAATCACACCATTCAACATGTACGGTTAATTTTTCATTTTCTAAATAGATTTTTGGTGTTTCTTTGATCTATTTTGGATTGATTGATTGATTGAAATCCATTATTAAATTATTAATTTTTTCAAATAAACAACATACTTTTGACACTGGTAATGTTGTATCCATCATTGCACCCATATCGATACCATCTTGAACATAATAATTTGAATGTGGTGCATTTGTAACAGCTAAACTTTCACGTACACCATGACGTGGATCTTTTGCAATCACATAAGCAATCCATGATATATAACGTAGATGATTTCTTGGTACAGAATGAAGATCCATAAAAAAAAGTTTAAGGCGTAAAAATTCACTATCCATATCGGCTTCAATACACCAACCCTAACAACAACAAAAAAAATGAAGTTTTCAAAAGTTTTAAATTGAAAAAATCATCATTTATTTACCTGTTTATTACGATCATAACAGCTAATAGTTGGTGAAGGATTACGAACGATAGGCACTTTTGCTTCGCTAATTGCATTACAACAATGTAATTCAACAAAAACACGAACGGTACCATTTGATTTAAGTAAATCAGTTAATGAATGTTGCATTTGAAATCCACGTATACGTCCACCAGCATCAGATATTTGATCTAAAACACCTGAATCTTCATGATTTTTTTGTTCATCATCACCGATTATAACACGATACTGTACACGACATGGATGATCAAATCCACTTAAACGATTTAAAAATACATAGATTATACGATTCGATGATGTTGTTGATGATGATGATTCATTAACTGTATTATCATTACTATTATTATTATTATTATTATTTGAATTAGCGGTTGTAGTTGTAGATGTGGCACCATAATTATGGATCACAATAGAAACATTCCATTCGAATGAACCGAAACTGAATGAGGCACTTTCAAATTTACCACTTTTGAGCTGACCATTATTTGACACTTGTAGATCAGTCTCAAAAATGGTCAATATATTACCTAGACTAAGTTCTAATAAAAATTCTCCAGTTTCATCACCAAATTTGCGTGATTGAATTTCATTCATCAGTATCCATTTACTAACGCCCTAAAGTAAATAAAGGAGTAACAAAAAAATAAAATTAATTTGAAAAGTTCAGCAATTTTCATTGAATTATCTAATGAAATGTTTTGTTGTTGTTGTTGTTATTGGTGCAACACCAAATTATCAATGATAATTCAATGATTACTAAATTGGCTACACACATGATTATTAATTGTAAACAACAATCTTATTGTAATAAATAGAAAAAAAAGTTGAAATTCAGAATTTGTTTTTTATTCATTTTCAAAACTACACCCAATATTGTTTTTGTTGTTGTTATGATTCTCAGTTATTCAATGAAATTTAACCTTAGAAAAGAAATTTTGTTTAAATAGAAAATAAAATCTCAAATCTTGATTCAGGTTAATTTTGAATATCAACATATATTAATATACCGGGCAACAAAAAAAAAACATTAATTTATCATTATTCTTTTTTGCTTTTGAAATGTTTTTTTTTCGAGGAAAATATGCTCAACATTATTTATAATAATGAATCATTCTGTGAAATGAAAATAATGTTTTGATGATGAAATTTTTTCTCTAGATTTTACGTTTTTTTCTTTCCCTATTCACAACAATAATAATAACGCTTTTATAATTGCTCTCAAAGATTTCATGTTTATCATTTTGTGGATGACGATAATGATAACGAATACCGAGAAGGAAATGAAGAAAACGATGATGAGGAAAAAAATTCATTTCCATTTTTTCGCACTGAAAACAGGAACTATGAAAAAATGGCCATATTTTCAAAAAAAAAACATTTGATGATGCGAATATTATTTTCGTTTTCGTTCTCTCATATCTTATCAGTTATTTTTCATGATATTTACTAAACAATTCCAGTATGTGTATTTTATATTTTACATTCAGATTTAATGGGGGAAAAATGAAGCTAATATTCGGTTTGGTCCGCTCAGTTTTTTTTTATTCAACCAAATTCATTATTATTCGTTTTGCTTTTTTTGTTTTTTTAGTCGTCCTTTTTTTTTGGTTATCAAAATCATTATCATGATGATGATCACAATACCGGCTGTCTACCAAAAACTGTTCAACATTTAAAAAAAATTTTGAAACGAAAAGAAAATCGCTATCGAGTTATCATTTCTTCGAATGATGTTGTCATTGACCAGAAAAAAAAACAGCAACAACATCAAAGTAACCAGAAATTGCTCGTCGTCAAAGTTGATGATGAGAAAGAAAGAGAAAGGAAAAGAAAGTAAAGCCAAGGTATACGGGTTTCCTGTATTTGGTTCAATGATTTTTGAAGTTTTATTCGTTTTTATCTTTCTGGTTTTTTTTGGTTTACTGTTTTTCACTATTATCATCATTATTTTCTGCTATTCGAAACAATTCTTTTTTTATATATTACGCCTGTATCACTACGAACCAAAGAATCTTTTGATGACGATGTTATTAAATTCAATATTTCGTTTTTTTTCTATGTTAAGATCTAATTGCTACCATCATTTCATTGCTACAAATGCCACATTCACTCTTTCACTTTCTTTTTTCATCCCTCTCTTTCGATGTTGTTCGCTGTTTCTGAGTAACATCTCTGTTCGATTCATGCAACCATGAAATTGTTTTTTGCTACTTCTTTTTCTTTTGCTTATTCTTTCATTTTGATATTTTTTTTTTGGGGCAATAGATTATTTTACTGAAGACTCATTTCCGAAAAAAAATGTTATCATTATTATAAAGGGTGTCTGTATGTTTTTGTGGGTGACCTGCCCATAATGTTATATTCATTCTGTGATGATGTTATATTTTCAATTTTTCGATTAATTTATCTATAAAGAATGAAAAAAATAATAACATTGAGATAATTGGTTAGAATTAATAGAAAATTGTTATTTTTTTTTTTGGTTTCACCATTGTTTCCTTCATTTAAGATTGATAATGAAAGAATATTGTTATTTTTTTGGCCGGCTGTTTGGTTTTTCATTAAACAACAACAAGAAAAAAAATATTAATAATATTTTCTTACCTGTGTCGTATGTTCTGTTGTAAATTTACATTGTTTTTCCTGATGCTGTTCATTACGGCTAAAATGTTCACGATTCAATAATGTTAATGTAAAATCGGCATAACATTTTGTTGATGGTGATGGATTTCTTAATATAAGATAAACACCCAATGCACGATCATTTGCACGGGTAAATGAAATAGCCCAACGATGATAACCATAATAGAAATCTTTTGTTGTTGCATCACGATGTAGATCACGTGTAACCGAACGTGTAACAATAAATGTAAATATACCTGTATTGTAACGATCGTTGAGTTTGGTGAAACGATACAAAAGAGCCATTCGGGCTGATTTTCAAAAAAATCAGTATCATTGAATTTGATAATTGCGAAAGCCACCAATTAAAAGCAAAAAAAAAGAATCAACTTGTGAATTGTCACTTATGATATTTGTTGTTTTTTTCAAAAATATATGAAGATAAATGTTACTAGGAAAAAAACAGAACCAAAAATTTAAATTCAAGTAGGCCAAACAATGATAATTGTTAATGATGATTGAAAAATTCTACAACCAAATTGATAATGATTAAAATTTTGTTTTGTTTCAACATTCGATGATGATTCTAAAGAAAATTTTAAATACATTTGTTGTTGTTGTTGTCGTTGTTTTTTTGTTTTTTGTATAATGAAAAAAAACCAAAACAAAATAAATGATAATAATGAAATGACAATGGACAATTCGATTGATTGTATTGATAATAATGGTTGACGGTAACGATGATTGTACAATGAAAATGTTGTCTTCACTGCATTTATTATTTGACACATTGCAATTTTTTACACACAAACACATTCAATACAATATTTTAACTTTTTTTCGATTCCTGTTTTTATATTTTGATGTTGTTGTTCTATTCGTCTATCATTAGATTCTTGTCCTGTTGTTCATTGACCATGACTTTTTTTTATATATGTGTGTTTGTATTATAGCTGAACAATCATCATTATTTGCTGTTGTTCATTTGATATTGCTTGATGTTGTTCCTGTTTTTTTTTGTGGCTAATGATCGGTAGTAATTACACTGTTCAATTGTTTTGTCCATACAAAATGTCCATTATGTTATTGATAGTTGACCATTGATGTTTTTATCTCTTTTTTTTGTTTGTTTGGTTTTCTTTATTATCAACGAAAAAGATCACTGAAAAACAAAACAAAAAAAAGGAGAAAAAGTAAAAATCAAATAATTAATCATTCTGAATAATTGGTTTGAGATTATATTGGAGAAAATTGATAGATATAAATGGATAGCATAATTGTGTTTGTGTGTGTGTTGACTACAAACAAACTCAAAAAGATAACAATTTGGTTTTTAAAATTTTCAAGATAATGATTGCTTTTCTTGTTTTGCTCATAAGATTGTTTAATAGAGAAAAATGATATTGAATTCATTTGTGATTCGTTTTTTTCACCGATGATTACATGCCGATAATTTTTTTTCAGTTATTTAAAATTTAACAAAATAATTTTTCATGTTGAATGAAATTCTGTTGTTCAAAGGAATTTCATTTTCATTCTCAATATTATGACTGAAATTTATTGGAAAAAAATCGTTTTTTTTCTTTTTTTTTTCTTGCTTCTCTTCTGACTGTTTTCTTTGCCTGAATGATAAATGTTTTTTTCCCTTTATCATTTTTTTTGGGCAAACATAAGTTTTTTTTTATTTCTCACAATTTCTCCGGCATGTGAAAATATTTTCTTGATATATTTACATAATAATAATAATAATAAATCGTTGTTTGTTTAATGACAAACATTGACGGATCGAATAAAATGATCGTTTTATTTATTTGTTTGTTTTCTCATTCCAAACAGGATGAAAAAAAAACCGAGAACCGAAATGATGAAGGAATCTTTCGATTTGCAAAATTTTATAATACAAGCAATTATAATGATAAAAGCAAGAAAACCAATGGCTGACAACAACAACAACAACAATGAAAAGAAATTAATTTATTCTGTTCGAATCAAATTGGAAAATAATTTTTTTGAAAAAAAATTGGATCATTTTCAAACAACAATATCATTGTATCAGTAAAGGGAAAATTGCCCGAATCTTTTGATGAAAATGACAAAAAAGCTGCATTACTATTGTTATAGAGAGAATCAACGATGAAAAATTTTGTTTGTCATTTATTCTACTTTTAATATTTATAAATTTTTTATTCAATCATTGATAATGTTTTTTTTTCTTGTCAAATAATGGAGAATTTTTTTCCCTCTTTAGAAAAAGAATTACAAATGAATTGCAGAGCAATGGTAATACCCAGCAACAACAAACAAAAAAAATGACTTAAAACAAGGAATATACATCATCATTATGACACATATGAAATTTTGTATAATTAATCAAATATCGATATGTAAGAAAAAAGAGAAATTGGAGTGGAAAAAAAGATTTATAAATAATAAAATATTATTCTTAAGACTTTTTTTTTGGTGAATGCAAAGAAAATTATGAAATGTGCAAAAAAAAAACAAACAAACAAATAACGGTGCTAAAAATCGAAGAAATTTTTATTGGTTTTATGTTATGATGTGATATATATAGATGAAAATTATTGGAATCATTTCCAAAAAAAAATCGATCTTTAGTTTGATCGTTATATTTTTTTATTATTTTGTTCATCATACTCTTTTTTTCGCTGATGTGTGTTTGTCCAAAGATTAATAAATAATAATAATAATAATAATAAATTACATAATGTTTTGTTTGCCATTCGGGTTGAACAACATTGAGCAACAACAACAACAACAAAAATGAAAATACATTTATATGATTGATATCTTTACTTTTGGATATAAATAAGAAAAAACACTGTTGATATAACCATGATAGTAATGATTCTGATTATTAGAATGAATGAATAAAGTATTGGCCAATAAAAAAACAGCCATTTTTATTGTTGCTGTTGTTGTTGTTTTTTCTTCATTCGGTTCATTCATTCAACCGTTCATTTCCTATAATGATTGTGAAAAAAAACAAGCTATTAAATTCTTTTATTTCAATCATTTTTTATCATCATAATCCTTTTGACATTGGAACAAAGAAGAAAAAAAAATTAAGAAGAATTCATCAGTGAACAACAACAACAAAAATCGGATAAAATTGATAGAAAACTATAACCGTAACAAGCTATTCTGGATAACAAGAATCAAAATTGTTAAAATGAAAATTTCTATGAAAAATATTAAGAAAAAATGAAACAAGTTTTGAACAAAAAAAAAGAAAAAGATAAGTAAGTGTAAGCAAAATAAAATGCCATAACAGGGGCCAGAGAAAGAAAGAAAAAAAAACAAAATTCAATTTATTCACAGAAAAAAAACAACAGCAACAACCGATTCGTGTCTTCGTTTTTTTTCTCTCTCTCTCTCCAGATGATAATAATAAATTGAATTTTTTTCTACTTGGTTGCATAACCTAAATTCACCGGAAAAAATTTTGGGTGTATATTTTATCTCTCTCTCTCTCCTTCTTTAAATGTGTATTGGATCGAATGTCATTGATGGAACGACCTGTACCAAACAACAATAAACAACAACAACGACGACGACGAAAAAAAAATCTAATAATAATTTCAAATTCAAATCAGAAACATGAAATAACGATTTCGTTTTATCTTGTTCAAAGATTCAAAATCATGAATCTACTCTTTTGATGATTTCAGGAAAAAAAACATGATTGAGAAATTCATAAATAATATTGTAATCATCATTTTTCATCTTCGATATTGTTGTTGTTGTTCGATTATTATTAAATGTAAATATATGAAATATAATGCCATAATTCATTTTATAATAGTGATAATTTTTTTTTCTCTCTCTCTCTCTTTTTACCTAAACATATCCATAATGACAGTCATTCATATTTGTCAATTTTTGTTTTCGTGGATAATTTCACATGCATATATATGATGAAAAACATGATGATGATGATGAAATGAAAATCACAATTTTCATAATAAATGAAGAATAATGGCAGTGAAGCACATATTGAAAGGATCATTTGAAAATGAATATCATTTTTGTTGTTGTTGAATAATGAAATTTGAATATTGTAATATGAATAAATAAATAGATGAATTTGAAAATTGGGTTAAAAACATTTTCTTTTTCATCCAAATTTTTTTTTCGAATGCATTATTTTTCTGGGGTTTTTTTTTCTTTATTATGGTTCAATTCTATTGAAAACATGAACCACACACACACATGAAATTTATGAACACCTTGAATTTATGACTCTCAGCAAATGTGTGTGTGTGTGACTTTATTAGTATTTTTTTAATAATTTTTTTGCATTTATTAAACCAAACAACCATAAATCGTAATAATTTTCATGATAAATAACGATAATAATAATAATAATAATTTTGGTTCTTTTTTTTCATTCATTTATCGCCTTTAATAACATCAAGTTTATTATTGTTTTTAGCAAAGCAAAATAAATGAAATTATTTCAATTCCATGAATATTTATAATTTTGAAAAAAATTCGAAATTTTTTTTCCATAAAAAAAAGTTGAAAAATACTTGAAGAAATTGAAACTATTTTCGAATAAAGAAGGAAAAACGGTTCGATATTGTGATTAATCTGAAACATTTTTAATACGAATAGTGGATTTTTGACATGGATAGGAAAAAAAATTACTTACCACTTGAGAAATAAATAAAAAACAAAGATATTTGGCAAGCTAGATTTTGAATTGGCTAAAAAAAAAGTTCTGTAAATGGTTCTCCATATAGGAAACAAACAATAAGAGAGAAAATGGATAAAGTTTCAGTTTTGGATATTTCTTTTTTTTTTGGTACGGGTCCCTTTTTGTATTCACTTTCACCGTTCAAGCAGATGGTGGCTAGTGGATCGAATTTTGATCGGCACAAGTGTTGTGTTTTTGCTTTGCTAAGTTCCAATGAATGATTTTCAAAAGTTATTTTTTTTCTTGCTTCATATCATCTTCTTTTGATGATTGTCGGCTTGGTTAGGGCATAAAACTATTTTAGACGATATAAAAGGAAAGAAAAAAAATAGCTAAAAAAATATATTCTCATATCGAATCATTTAAGCCTCATTTAATTTTTTCTGGCAATTATTGATCAAATTTTTCATTCTCTATCTCTCTCTCTCTCAACTAATTTAAGTAGGTTCTGAATATAGAATCAATATCAATTTTACTTTATTACACTATTATTTTCTAAATGTTTTTTTTCAAAAGAAAATCAAAGATAATTGTCTTGTAAACATCTTTGTTAAATGTCTTTTATTTTATCACGATTATAACAATATATATCGTTGGAAAGATTGAACAAAAAAAAAATGTAGCCCCAAATAACTGTAAGCCGATGAACCAGGATACACATAGGGGAG